CTCCTCCTCCCCCCCCCATCCCATCTGGAGGGGGGGGGCCCGAGGACCCTGGGACCCATCCCATCTGGGGGGGGGGGGGGCGTGGGCCCGGAGCCCGCGATCATATACGCCACCTCGCCGGCACGGCACGGGTCACCGCGTGCCGCGGGGGCAGGCCGCGGCGATGCGCCGAGCGGGCGTTTTCTTGACCGCAGCGTCGGCCTGAAGTCGGGCACGTCCCTCCACAGGAGGAATACCAAGGGCGCCCTCGAGGGCGCGAAATGATTCGCGTTTCGCGGTTCGGCTCCGATTCCTCCTCATGCTCCTCTTCTCCGCTGGGAGGCGGCGTGAGAGCGCGAAGCTATTCGCACTTCGCGCAGCGCGAAGCGCGAAGTGGGGAGGTAGCCCTTGAATACCCAAAGTCGAAAATTGTCAAACCATAGTCTGGGGACGTTTTTTTTTGGGGGGGGGCTCTTTTTAGGCATGTTTGGAATATTGCTAATTTTTCGCCCCAAATCCGCCCGTAGGTGGACATGCCCGACCTAACGTTGGCCCCGAGTTTCTCCCCCCTTTTGGGGCGACGAGATCTGCAGTGGAGACCCATGCCAAGAAACACCCTTCTCGCCCCCAATGTGCCCTGGGTTTCTTGGGTTTCGAGGGTCTTGCGATAGAAAGAGCTACCTCTTTTCACACCAAAAATCCATGGACGTCCGGGGTCTCAGGGTTGGGTTTCTGGTGGAAGGTTTCTTGTGGACTGGCCCCTGCTGTATACATATCCACTGCTCCTGGCCAGGCCCATCCTGGGGCCCAGGAGCGATGTAGATGCTTCCCTGGCCAAGCCAGGAGGGCGTATACACCGGTTCTGGGCCCAGTATGTGGCTGGCCAGGAACAGTGTATATAGGTATATGTATATATATATATATATATGTATATGTGTGTATGTGATTATGTTTATACATGTGGATGAGTGAGCGGCTAACTATACACGCATACATACATGCATACATGCATGCATGCCTACATACATATATACGCGCGCACACACATACACTCATACATACATACATACACACATTCATGAGTTCCTGCATGCATGCATGTATGTATGTATGCATGCATACACACACTCACATACCTACCTACCTACCTATCTACCGACCTGCCTACCTACATACCTACATACATGCATACATGCATATACGTATATACGTACATACATACATGCATGCATACCAAACCATACCATACATACGTACGTGCGTACATGCATACACATATGCATACATATGCACACACATACATGCACGCATACACGTACATGCATGCATCCATACATGCATACATGCATACATATAAACATACAAGCATACAGTCATACATGCATGCATACATGCATGCATACATACCTACACGCACACACATGCATGCACACGTGCATGAATGCATACACGCATCCACACATACATCCATACATACATGCACACATACATCCATACATTCATACGCACACATACACACATACACACATACATGCATACATACATATATACATGCATACATACATACATACATGCATGCATACATACGTACACACATACACACACATACATACACACATATATACATACATACATGCACACATACATACATGCATACATACATACATACATGCATGCATGCATACATACATACATACATTCATACATGCATGCATGCACGCATACATACATACATACATACATACATACATACATACATACATACATACATACATATATACGTACATACATACATACATACACATACAATTACACATGCACATACACATACACATGCACCTACACCTACACCTACGCAAACGCATACGCATACACATACACATGCATACAGCCATGCCGGCATACACGCCTACATACACGCATATACACCTACCTACATATACACATACATACACGCATGTATGTATGCATACATCGACCCATGCATGCATACATACATGCATGCACGTCTACCTACCTACCTACCTACCTACCTACCTACCTACATCCATACATGCGTACATGCATACATCCATACATACATGCATGGATATACCTATAGTTGTATGCGTATAGCTATATGTGTCTATATAGTGATCATGCATACATGTTCATATACCGAACCATGTACAGAAAGGGAGAGACCGAGACACGTATCTCGCTGCCCTACCCCTCCTTCCCCCGTCTCCGCATCGCGCGGGGCGGTGCGCGGCGCGGCGCGGCGCGGCGCGGCGCGCGACAGCGCGCCACCCGCCCCCGCTGCGGCCGAGGCTTGGCCTGGCGCCGACTCGTGCGCCCGCGGGGAGGGCTCGAGATCGGACGAGCAGGAGGTGATGGACCGAGTTCCCACCACTGCTACCATTGGCAGGAGAGGCAGGAGAGAGGAGGAAACAGAGGGAGGAGGAGGAGAGGAGGAGGAGGAGGAGGGGGAGGAGGAGGAGGAGGAGGAGGGCGGATGAGGAGGAGGAGGAGGAGGAGGAGG